TCTGGCAGGCCTATTTTTGGGCGGGGACGGGGAGGACGCGATCAATGATGGCGTGCCCTTCGTCTAAAACTAGCCTAGTGCAGGCCAACCTCCACCACAGCGAAACTGCGTCGGCTCAATTACGCAAGTGGTTGGAGGTTCAAAGGACTGCCATAGCCTTAATCCAGGAGCCATGGGTTGGGGCTGGTAAAATTAAAGGCCTAAACAACCTAAAAGGTAAGTTATTCTACAGCTCTGAACACGACAAGCCTAGAGCGTGTATTTACACTACTAAAGATATCTGTGCACAACCTTTAACAGATTTCTGTTCTAGAGACATGTATGCCGTAGCAATACAGTACACACAGGAGAGTAGATTAGTCGTCGCCTCGGTCTACATGCCGGAGGAAGACACTCCTCCCCCTCATGACCTCAGCAGGCTGGTGAACTTCTGCGAGAGGACCGGACTACAGGTTGTGATCGGGACGGACTCCAACGCACATCATCCCCTTTGGGGAATGGAAAAACCAAATGAACGAGGTAAAGTTTTAGTTGAATATTTATTTAGTACTAACCTAACCATTTTAAACATAGGTTCTGAACCTACTTTCATAAACAAACGCTGTCGCACTATAATCGACCTCACACTTGCAACAGAAGGAGCAGCCAAACTAATTACGGGATGGCATGTGTCGAGAGAGGCCTCATGCTCAGACCATAGATGGATCTGCTTCGCACTACAGGTCGATATCCCCTCTACACCACCATGGAGAAATCCCCGCAAGACAGATAAAACAAAATACCTAAATAGGCTGACGTCTTTGCTAGCGGATTTTGAGGGGATAAATACTATAGCAGATCAGTCGCTCCTAGAAGAACAGGTAGCAGCTGTTACTAAGGCCATGATAGACAGCTACCATGAATCATGTCCAGAAATCACTCCACCAAGACATGCCGAGGTAAAACAACCGTGGTGGGGTAAAGAACTCGATAGAAAACGTAAGAAGGTAAGAAAAGCTCTAAATAGGGCCATGAATACCTCAATGGATGAAGACTGGCTATTATATAAGAAAGCTAAGTCTGAATACAAAAAATGTATCAGGTATCGACGCTCGATTGGGTGGCGTAAATTCTGTGGCAACATAGAAACCTGCAAACAAGCAAATAGGATTAGGAATATTCTAGCTAAACAGAACACGTCGGGATCCATGTCTCTAAAGAAACCCGACGGTAGCTACTCAACATCGCCGGATGAAGCCCAACGCATCCTAATTGAAACGCACTTCCCAGGTTGCTGCGTAACCCAGGAGGCAAACCGGCATGACGACATACTGACATCAACAGCAGAAGACTGGAATTTAGCACAGAGAGTGGTAACGATGGACAAAATCCATTGGGCCATTCACAGTTTCCTCCCCTATAAGGCGGCAGGACCCGACGGCATATTCCCGGCACTCCTACAGTGGGGGGGTAAAGCCCTAATAGTCAGACTTGCTGCCATAATGCGAGCCTGTCTTGCTCTTAAATATGTTCCTAGGGGATGGAGGGAAGTGAAAGTTACATTCATACCCAAACCAGGTAAGAGCGACTACACTGACCCTAAATCCTACAGGCCCATTAGCCTCACATCCTTTCTCCTAAAGACGATGGAGAGGATGTGTGAAAGGGAATTAAGGGGGTCGGCGCTAATGAACTTACTACTACACGACAAGCAACACGCCTACAGTCTAGGCAAATCAACAGAATCGGCCCTTCATAAGGTAATTACAAAGATTGAAGAGGCCATCCAAAACAAAGAAATATGTCTAGGTTCCTTCATAGATATAGAAGGTGCTTTTGACCGAACGAACTTCTCCAGCATAAAAGGTGCACTCGGTAGAAACAAAGTTGAACCGGCACTGATCGACTGGATAGTTTACATGCTCAGTACACGAATAATAAAGATGGCTGGTGAATCTCAACCAATTCAAATTAAGAAAGGCTGCCCGCAGGGTGGGGTTCTCTCACCTCTCCTGTGGAATATGGTCATTAATGAACTCATCAGCAAATTAAATGACAATCACTTCTATACAGTAGGTTATGCTGATGACCTGACAATACTGGTCTCTGGAAAGACAGCAAGCATAGTGTGCGACCTGACCCAAGCGGCCCTCCGTATAGTGGAGAGATGGTGCAGGGAACACGACTTAACCGTCAATCCAAATAAAACGGTTTTAGTTATGTTCACACAAAAACGAAAGCTGAATAACTATCATCCTCCAAGTCTTTTTAGCACAAAACTCCAGCTATCCTCTGAGGTAAAATATTTAGGTCTTACCTTGGACAGCAAACTTAACTGGAATAAACACATAGAAAACAAAATCAACAAAGCTAGTATAACTTTCTGGCAATGCAGAAACATGATTGGCAAAAGATGGGGATTGACGCCAAAAATCATACTGTGGCTTTACAAAACTGTAATTCGGCCCATGATCACATACGGCGCTCTGGTATGGTGGACCAAGACAAATGAAGCCACCATAATTAAAAAGCTTCAGCGCTACCAGAGACTGGCATGTATGGCTGCCACAGGCTGCATGAGAACTACGCCAACAGCAGCCTTAGAAGCGATGCTGGAGCTAACTCCGCTTCATCTACATATACAACAAGAAGCGACTTTAGCTGCCATCAGACTCAAGACCCTAAATCTTTGGAGTAAGAATAGTGTCCCTCATACAGGCATAATTGATAGAATTCACTCAAAAATTCCTATCCTACAAGCCAAATACGATAGGATTCCTAAACAATTTGTTTTCGATAAGAAATACAAGATACAGTTAAATGAAAACAGCCAGCCGGAAGGATTAAGCCCAAAAGAGCTTAGAATTTTCACCGATGGTTCTAAAACAAATGAAGGTGTAGGTTCTGGAGCTTTCTCTGAAGACCTCAATATTCACATATGCACACCGCTGGGTACCTATAACACGGTCTTTCAGGCGGAATGTATGGGTATCATTCAAGCGGCCATAGCAATAGATGCTAGGAAGGTTAATGACTTCCCCATCAGAATACTGACCGACAGTAGGGCGGTACTCCAAGCCCTGAGATGCAATGTGGTGAACTCGGGACTAATATATGAATGCCATCAACGATTAAATGAGGTATGTAAAAACAACAATGTGACCCTGCAATGGATAAAGGGACACAGTGGATCCAGAGGCAACGATGCAGCAGACGAACTGGCTAGAAGAGGATCGGCTTTGGCCACTATAGGGCCGGAACCAATCATACCAATCCCCTTTGGTAACGTTTGTTCACTGGTACGTAGACACTTCACTAATCAACACGCTCAGCTTTGGAAAAATCTAGTAGACTGTAGACAAGCTAGGGATGCCCTGCCTGAAATTAACAGTCGCTTAACAAAAGTTTTAATGAGACTGAACAAGCCGCAGATTAGGATAGTAACAAGTGCTTTCACAGGACACGGCACCTTTAACAAACATTTATTTACTATAGGTGTTACAGATAGTCCCCTGTGCAGGGCATGTATGGGGGAGAAAGAAACGGCGGCCCACGTGCTACTGAAATGTCCGGAGGTCGCTACATACAGGGCTAAACATCTCGGCACGCCGGGATCACTCCCCGAAGTTGCATGCAACATCAAGGGCCTGTTGAGCTTCTTCGGAGAGATCTCATGGCTCGAATAATCACATTATTCCTGCCCACACGCAAAATACGCGCATAGACGTGGAGTTGCGGAAAACAGCCCGTCGTAAACTAAACTAAACTAAACTACATTGTTTCATTTACCACTATCATAGCAGAGTTTAGGGAAACCTGACTTTATAGATAAGATAGATCAAATTTGTACTAAAACTGAATCAGAACTCCCCGACTCTACGTAGTCTTGTTTGCGCTACCGCTAGAGTGTTTTGTAAGCCGTAGGCGCGGAGGGAGAGCAGCCCCCGCCCGCTGTAGCAAATCGCAGGCCCCTGTGTGAGCCGTAGCGGCTGAGGCTGGTCACCGAGGGCGACCAATAAGCCGAAGCTGCGGAGGTGAGCATGGGTGCCTGTGATTTGCTAGGCAAGGGCGAAGGGGCTGCACTTCCCGCAGCGCTAAAGCCGTTGCAGAACTAATTTTGTGTCTATAGTTTAACCTTCAAAGTTCTTGTTTCCAAATTTATCGCATTTAATTTACTTATTTTGAATTTCCGTTGTTTTGGGTGCACAGCAACCCATAGTCACGTGGGGGACTGAGATGTCTGACATCCCGATGTCAAAGTTAGCCGGGCTACCTTCAGTTTTTGGTTCTGTTAATTAAGTCTTGCAGTGGTATGCTTGGGTTTGGATTTAATTTCGCTAATTATAGGATCCCAAGCACATAATAGTACCCATTCATTTTCTCTATTGAAATTAGGATGTATTTTAGTTTCAATAGCCTTGCATATCATCCTTGGTAGAAATTGGTGATTGTTGGTGGGGACGATCTTAAACATGTTCACAGACTGCAGACTTCGTGGAGCCTCAGAGCTTCAATAAACAGCTATAAGTTAAAACATAACAAGAAATGTCGGGAATTCAAAATAAGTAAATTAAACGTGATAAAATCCGTAAACATAGTTTTATTCAATACTTTGTTCTCAATTAGTTGTCTACAACTGTGTATTTTTTTGTGAAAGAAAATCTTCATCACTTAGTCTTGATTGGTTAGCCACCACTGTACATCTGCATCTAAAAATCAGTGTAGAAACTGAGAATACTGCCATTCTCAGTTTCTACTATGATTTTTAACTCTACTCTTTAGAATTGAAACTGGCAATGCACCTGTAGTATTGAAGTTTATTGCAGGTGTTTCATAAGTTGCAGACATTACTTTCAAATAAATTTTTAGTTAGTTTGTTCGTGTTGTTTAGTAGGTGTTTGTCACAGAAACTTGTGAACTATTAAACGCCCAGCACTTTCAATATTCAGAAGTAAACGTCAATCTGTTTGACGAGAAAGACATCATGCTAAGGCTTATAGTTTTTATTTTATCCTACTTACCAAATCACCCAGTAGTTCACCAAAAATTTTTAGATTATTTTCTTCAGTTATTGCTGTTAAACGTCTATCAATACTGAGACATCCTTCGCAAATTGAACCGAGAAATGGTAAATTTGAAGCCATGGTTTATTCAAATTCAAGTTTTTCTGATGAAACATATATATCTTACACTAAACTATTGCAATCTTACAACAAAAACTACTCGTAGTACAAGACAGTCACTATTTTCCGTATCATTATGAAAGTTTATGCAATGACCAATAAAGCAAATAGCTATAATTGCACAAACACAACAAACAAAAATAGCGCATAGCAGTTGACACTTGACGTTGACATTTGACAATTGAAATTGACAGACTGATTTTTTTGTTTGGAGTTTATGGCCTGGTATCTAGACCTTTAGGCCCAGTCTTGAGTATTTTTATTCGGTTTATTATAATTTCCCCAAATTTATAATTATCCTTCATAGTTCACTGCTTCACAATATGTTGATGCGTCACATTGTGCAGCCCTTGGGAGATTTTGACGGCAACTTGAGTCAGCAGACAGCTGACAGTTGGCGATGGTATCTCAAGGCGCCTATGCAGACAAACAGCTTATCTTGAGAATCCATCACCATCAGAGCACTTGTTTCACCGTTTCCACTAATAGTTCACATGCGTAGACAGTTAATACATAAAATCGCACCACTTTTACATATCAAAATCCACTTCAAACTATTATTTAAACTATTATAATACAGGAGCAGCCAACCACCACCGGTCAAGTTTCCGCCAAAACTCTCTGACAGACTGATAGATAAGTTCAGTGTTACCTTTCAGAGATTTAAAATCTACCAAAGTCAATGGCTTGCTCTTTAATTATTTGCACATTTTGATAAATGCATCAACGATTTTTGCTGCCCCCAGTGAGATGCTGCTTTGGAATGAGGTGAAATATATGACAGATTTCATAGCGGGAAAGTAAATTTGTTAGGAAAATGTAAGGATTAAAGTTTCTTACTTTAATAGTACCAGTATAATTTATATAACGAGACTAGTAGTGCTAGTATTACAGTAAAGGTACAATTCCGTTCAGGTATACCTCAAAACTTGAAAACGAGACTGTACAACCAGTGCGTGTTGCCAGTGATGACATACGGAACTGAGACGTGGTCCTTCACTGCTGGCCGGATGAGGAAGCACAAGGTCGCTCAGCGAGCTATGGAGAGGCCTATGCTCGGAGTTTCTCTGCGTGATAAACTCAGAAATGAGGATATCCGCAGTAGAACCAAAGTGACCGACATAGCCCAACGGATTAGTAAGCTGAAGTGGCAATGGGCCAGCCATATAGCTCGAAGAACCGACAACCGATGGGGAAAAAAGGTTCTCGAGTGGCAGCCTCGTACCGGTAGGCGAAGTGTACGTCGTCCCCCCACTAGATGGAGTGACGACCTGGTAAGACATGCAGGAAGTCGATGGATGCAGGTGGCTCAGGACCGTGCTTTGTGGCATTCTTTGGGGGAGGCCTATGTTCAGCAGTGGACTTGTGAAGGGCTGTAATGATAATGATGAATGATGATAACTGTACACTTTACTACCACCGCGCGCGCTCATTGGTCAAACCAAAGAGCGCGCTTCCCCGGCTTTCTGTTACACACTTCCGTTCCTTTTCAAGAAATCACTCCCACAGATTGCGGAGAAGATTTTACACATCTATAAATACTAATACAACGGTTATCGTTAAACTCAGGGACAAAAAATAATTAATAAAAGTAGTTTAGGGACCTTAAAATTCAATGCACCTGCAATTTCTCTTGTGTTGCAGTTGTTGATGGGCGGCGGTCAACACTTACCATCAAGTGAGCCGCATGTTCGTTTGCCCGCACTTCTATAAAAATAATGCGCCAGCGCTTGTTCGATGTTGGGCGTAGTGGCTGACCAAAGACTACAATATTATATAAGGAATGGCTGACTCACTGCCCTCGATCCGCGAAGACAAGTCCGAAAGCGAGTAATCGACATGCCGCGATGCCCTATGGCTAAGTGCATTTACTGTTCAAAGTCCGCGTGGTTATGTGCATTTAGGGCGTAAAAATAAAACAAATTGAATGACTAGTTGTTTTATTCAAGAGAGGTGGCAGAACTCCCACACGTTTAGGAATTTTATTAGAAATATTTAAGACTTCTAACAAAAAAGTAAAAACCAACTTCTAATTGCTAAAAAAGGAAGTTATTTATTTGTTACCCTTAGGTAGGTGTTAACTTTAAAGCCTTCCGCTAAGCACCGCTATGTTCCAGTCGGGAACCAGTGTAGTAATATATGTACGTTATTTATTATTATTATATATTATATAATATGTTTGAGGTTAAAATTGCTATCCGTCGAACGACGTGACATTTCCGGCAAATTCTCATAACATTGCGAAAAACCATGTCACAGTCGTTTGCTTATGTTCAAATTATGGAGTGTAGAGAGAAGGAGGACCATCTCTATATATGAAAAGTGTCCCTAAAAACGTGTCCAATAAGGGTGGCGCTGCAGTAGCATGGGATAAATTTAAAAAAAAGCGCCAAAAGTAATTAGAATAAGACGGAGAAATAAACAAGGACAGACCAACCCGTTTGGTTTTGTACTACCTAAATAGTTGAGATTTTGTATACTGGCGTTTTACTAACGACTCTAGTCATGAAATTTTTAAATATTTGAATTCAGCTGACTTCACTCCGTTCACAACAGCTATCTTCATATCGTAGTTTTTCAGACGCCAGCGCTGTTGTGGTAGATTTTGGAACCTCTATTTTCAGTAAATAGTAGGACACTTTTTCAACTTTCGCCCCTTATAAGATGGTTCTCCTCTACACTCCATAGTTCAAATGAAGCTGAAGAATATAACTCTTAAAAATATTTTTTTTAAATTTCTACTAAATTTCGTCAGGCATTGATAATACAGATCATGCATAAAATCTAGTCTATAAATATAAATAAACTTGAAATGTCTGTCTATTCCATTTATAAAAGTCCACTTCTGAACATAAGCCTCTCTAACAAGTTGTTGGGATGTTGCCATTGTTGCCACACTTGATGGGTGGGTTGGAAATGGCAGTTTTTTATTATTTTGAGGGGCTATTAGAAATATACTGCTTCCCATCTGTTTCTATTTCCCTCTGTCGCCTCTTACGACACCCACGGTACTTTATAAGATATTGATGTGATATTCTTTCAACGCCACTACACGATTTAAGTGTATGTCAGTAATATCAAATAACTGGTTTCTATTAAGCTTAAGGGGTTATTTGCATTCTAATATGCCATAAATAACATTTTTTTTTAATTTGGTCTTTATGTCTGTTTGTCCGGGCTAATCTTGAATAGCTGTACCGATTGCGATGAAACTTTATTAACATATTAGCTGTACCCTATGACTTCGCCCGCATGTAATTGAGTTTTAATTTTTTTGCGCAGAATCGTAAATCTTTTTCTAAAAATAAAAGTAGCTAAGTTACTCCTTATAACATTCAATCTACCAGTGAAAGTCCCGTCAAAATTGGTCCAGCCGTTTCGGAGATTAGACGGAACAAACAGACAGGCAGACAGACAGACAGACAGACAAAAATAAAAAAAGAGTTTTTGTTATAAGTACCGCATATACTTTCATATGTATTTAGTAAAAAGCTGTTATTTTGACATTACAAACAGACACTTTAATTTTATTTATTTTTATAGATAAAGAAGAAGGGATCTAGGCATAAGAAAAACTTAAATATTAAAAAAAAAACACATTAATTGATTCTATACAGGTGAAGCTGGGGCGGGTTGCTAGTATGTAAAAGGTAAATAAAACAAATATTTTACAATAAACTTTATTCATCCACATACATGCATTAACTTATAAATTTGTACAAAAATTGTACATACAAGAAATATTCACTCGAATCGACAACTAATAAATAAACAATGGGAACATCACTAAATGTTGTGACAACCATACGAGCGAATGCGACGTCCAGTAATAGAGTGAAATAGAGTACGGAAGCTTTACACAAGCGTCTCGTAACGCACGCACACAAGCGCAGTTTTCATCTACAGTAGCACACAGAGACAATAACGCGAATTTTGTAGCCGTTGGCCGACGCAGGTATTGCATTTTTCTCTGTCCACTACTGTAAGTGAACTCAACTTTTGTGTGCGTGCGTTGTGAAATGCTTGTATAAATTCCATACTCTCGATCACACTGTCAAGGTCGTTATGCTTTCGTCTCTAAATATAATTGTCACAAAATTTATCATCTGTCCTCACGCACTCTCAATACTGTAATAATCTTATTACCTACGATTAATTGTATATAAATAAGGTTATACTTGTAAATTCATTACAAAATATAAAACATTTGAAACATATTCCGAGGCCTTGAAAGGTCTATCGTCATAATAAATCTGTCAAGACGCGGAATTGTTTTAAAACATGGCTATAATACCTTACGATATCGTATAAATTGTTGGAATTCGTATGTATTCATAGACATTATTTATTTATTAAGGCCTACAAATGGCTCCAGTGAGCTTTTCCTAAATGTGTATAAATATCTCACGGCTATATTAAATTGCTATGAGACTGCATTTAAAAACAGTTTATTATTTTACATTGAAAATATACTTTTGTACTAATTGAGCACATTGCTTCTTATTTTATTGTATCATAGCTCACTGGTCTATCAGACTAGAATCTACCCTATGCCCTTAAGCTTATGAGCGCTTATTCGCTACCTTATCGCCGAATTGTGGCGTCTTGTTCTTGTATTGTTCATCATCTTCACTTATACTAGTGGAAACTGAGATTTCAGTTACTGGCTCAGAAGTTTTTTCGGTAGAAGCAGTGGCACTCTCGCCAAAGTATATAGCAACATCGTTGTCATCGACATCCTCAATTGGTTGCACATTCTCAACACTCGGTGCCGGGACGACTATGGTGTGAGTGACTGAGTTATCAGCTTTTAAATCGCAGTCACTGCGTTTAAGATCATCTTTCTGTTTGTGAACTGCTTCTCTTTGAAGGTAGTGCTGAATATTTTTAGTACCTTGCGTTTGTTGGTCTACTTCTCTTTGTGAATTTTGCGTGTTCTCTTTGGTTCGGTCTACGGGTTC